CGGGGGGACTGCCCCATACCTGGAGGCCGCCCTTTGGCAGAAGACATCCTATCCCAGCACAAGCTTTTGGGGTATGAGACTGACAAGGAAAGGCGACAAGTCCATCATCCGAGTCCCCTATGCCCAGCCCTGCCTGGCCGCGGGGTCGGCTTCAGCCAGAGCCTGCGGCCCACAAATTAAGGCAGGGTGCGTCTCCCCCAAAAGCCGGAGGGAAAGGGCTTGCAGGGCGCGCCAGGCCCAGGCTGAGGCAGGCACGGAGCCTAGTTGACAGCTGCACCCCAACTCCCGGGAGGGCTGGAGAAGGCCGGGCTGACCACAGCAGACGGATGGGGTGGCGGGAAGTCGCCTCCATGCCTGCGCGGCTCTGCCGGCCTTTCTTCCCGTCCTCCCAGCTGGCTCCCCCGCCCGGGACGCCCCGCGCCACTCCGCGCCTTTGGCCCTGGCTCAAGGTCTTGTGATGTGATTAGCAAAGCCAGCGCCTTGTCCTCAGACACTCGGCCCTGCCCGGCAAGCCCCGGCGCTCGAGCCCTGTTTACTGCAGCCTGGGCGGGGAGTGGGGCGGAGAAACCGGCCCAGGCTCCTCTGGGCGAGACTGCCTCGGCAGCCGCCCGCGTGGCCGCTCCGCCCCCACCCCCACCGTGTCTCCACGTGCAATCAGATGGAGCCGCCATCCACCGGACTCAAGCCGAGCCCCCGCCTCCCCGCCCCCAACCGGAGCACCCTTTGCAAACCAGCCGTGCCGCACGGACGGCTGCAATATTCTCGGATTTTGCAATTCCCGCGTCCAGTATAAAACCCAGAGTGGGAGATAAAAGCTCCACAATTTCGCCTAGCAGGATCGGGCGAGGAAAGACACGTCCAGGATTGCTGGGAAAGACACGTAAAACGTGCTGGGGATTTCCAACAGTGCAGTCCTACAGGAGGGGAGCAGTATCTACCCGCCGCCACTCAACAGCACCCATCTAGGCCGAACTCTCCACGCCGCCCCGGGTGCTGGGCGCCGCGGCAGCCTGCCCCGCCCCGGGCCTCTGCCCCCTCCCCCAGAGGAAAAAAATTGGCGGCGGCCAATGAGAGGCCAGGAAGGCGCCTGACGTCCGCGAGCCAGCGGGCGGCGTTGCCTGGAGACCCCAGCCGGGTCAGCGTTCTGTCCCCTCCCCCGGCACGCCCGCCCAGTGGCTGCCGCGCTTCGGCGCTCTATATAGGGCGCGCGCTCGCGGCCCGCGGAGTTCCAGCAGTTCGCGAGCTGCCGTCGGCTCCGCGCGGGGGGGGCGGGCCGGGCGCCCCGGGGTGCGGAGGAGCGCAGTTTGCTTCTCTCTCCTTTTCCCCCACGCCGCACTCCCGGCACCCTCAACCTAGTCCACGCTGCCTCCCTTTCCCGCTTTTCTCGCCCCCAGCCAACTTTCGGTCCCTCCCCGCCCCTCGCCCGTTATTCGTCGTGGCTCGAGCCCGGCCGCACCGCCCCGAGGGCTCCTCTGGACCTCCCTGCCCGCAACTCCGACCTTTACAGGATCCAGAAACATGTCGACCACACTTATGTCCGCCTTCTACGATATCGACTTCTTGTGCAAGGTACGCGGGGGAGCAAGGAGAAAGGAAGGCGGGCAAGCAGGAAGCCCTTCGAGGTTTCAGACTTTATCTTCTGTCCTAAGCTTTTGGGGGACCCCTCCCCACCTTGACTTTTTGGGGTCGAGAAAAATCCCGAAGTTTGCAGTAGTTGTGCTTGTGTCTTGTGGGCGGGGAGAAGGAGCAGGGAGGGAGGAAGGGCAGGAGGGAGCGGCTGTAGCTGTTTCTCCCGAGCCGACCGCGGCAACGCTGCCCGGGGCTTCCCGGACCGAGTCTGCGCCGCCCAGGCCGGCGGCCCACAGGCTGAGGATCACATGTCGAAAACCAGCGCGGCCTGGAGTGGGAGTCCGGCTCCTCCCAACGCGAACTTGATTCTTTTGCGCCGTATGGGTGGAGGGTGGGGGGCGAATCGAAAGCTGCAAAAAGGAAAAAGAACCAGAGGCTGGCAGTTCCTCTGCAACTCGCCCCAACTCTTCTTCCCCTTACCCTTTTTCATTCCTGCCCCGCTCCCCTCCTTTTGGCAGACGGAGAAGTCCCTGGCCAATCTCAATCTGAACAACATGCTGGACAAGAAGGCGGTGGGGACGCCCGTGGCCGCCGCCCCCAGCTCCGGCTTCACACCGGGCTTCCTCCGACGGCATTCAGCCAGCAACCTGCACGCGCTCGCCCACCCCGCGCCTAGCCCCGGCAGCTGCTCGCCCAAGTACCCGGGCGCGCCTAACGGCAGCAGCTGCGGCAGCGGTGCGGCCGGCACCCCGGCCTCCTACGGCACCCTCAAGGAGCCCTCTGGG